AAAAGGAAGTGTTTGGTGATATGTATGAGAGAATTAGATTGTTATGAATTATGGGTGAGGAATTCTTAGATCTTAAACACTAACTTCATTGTATCCGAGGTTTATACATTGTCTTTCCCAAGTTGAAAGTTTTTATTTAGTTGGACGAATAATCAGTATGATCTGTGTTGATCTCTGATACTTAGATGTGGATTTGTGGAGAAAAGTGCAACATTGAGGGTAACATTTTCCTGGAAATTTGTAAACCAGCTTATGGTTAGAAAAGTAGTATACATCTGCTTTGCTGTTCTATTCCATTCTGAAATTGTGGTCATGATCGCTCAACGCACCGGAGATTACATTTCTCTTGCTACACTCGCAGACTATTATAATAGTTTATAAAATCTGTATGGTTATTTCACGTAGTAATACATTTACTGGAGACTTGGAATGAGGACGCATTCATACTTCATAGGTACTATGTGAAGATGCGACAGTTATGTGATAGTGGTGGAAAAAGACCATATACGTGATGATTGGCATTTTGCTGTACTGGTGTCAATGAATCACTGTTGCTTTTGGTTCATGGGTAGAGATTTGTCTCAAGGAATAAATTTCGGATGTTGGCTCTTAAGTCTCGTTTTCCTTTGAGGTGATATGAACAGAGGATCTTCAAGGAGATGAGATGTCAGTGAGAAAATTTCAATGCTCTTGTCGCAAAGTGTTTTCTTTTCTTATGCAGGGGACACCTGAGCCATTTAATTTATACCAAGATGATTTATGTTATGATTTTTTGGCTGCCTGTGGATGTTGGTCGCTATACGAAGATGATTAGTTTCTAATTTTAGCTGCCATTGTATGTTGATGGTCTTTTAACTGTAAAGTCTGTGGTGGGAGGTTCTGAATTGGTTTGGAATACAGTGGTTATGCTGAGTTCAGTAAAGGGGGCATTGCATAGCTGGAGTTTCAAAAGGAGAAAGAGAAGACCCAGGGCATGTAGCCCCATTAGCTCTGATGTTTGTTGTGTAGAAGAAGAGGAATAGGACAACGTGTGAAGGGGTTGATAGTGAGTTTGCACAGATGAGGGGTAGCCTCTTGTTTCTAGTTTCTTTTTGGTGCACCCATGAGGTCCTTGTTCGTATAGACGAGTAGGTGACATTTGTACGGAACCATATTTTGGTGTAGGTTTCTCTACTTCTTGGTATACTACTTGTATACGGTGTTTCACCTGAGGACTGAACATTAATAAAATTCTTTACCTTGTAAAAAAAAATGTAAAGTCTGTTTTAACTTTTATGAAAAGAAAAAATCCTTATCCATTTGAGAGAAGTTTCCAAAGGAAACAAAAACTCTTTGTCCCCAATTATTTTTGTTTTGGTTGTGGTGATTTATATTAGGTTTAGCCTAAGCTTTTCGAGCATTTAGATATGAGGATTGTCCTTTCTTCATCCTTTAAGCTGTAAAATAATTTTGATGAAATAAGATTCTTCATTGCAGGCATCATGAAGATGCAAAGCTACAAAAAAGATGAGTTAGCTCCCTTACGACAAAAAACCTTATTCTGCTCAGGGAGCTAACCACAAAGACAAAACTAAACACATAACTGGGCTAAGCTAGAGTAAGCGAGCCAATGAAGTCTAGGAGGGGAACTACATTATTTACAAGGATTAGAGAGCTCCAACTAAATAGGTGCACAAGGCATTTGGCTTTGAGAGTATGGATAGGAGTTGAAATGCCATCAAACCATCTGCGATTCCTTTCTTGCCAAAGCCACCAAAAAATCTTGTTGGGATCAACTTCCCAATGTTCCAACCTTCCACTGCCTCCCTGATGCCCCAAGCTGTAAAATATTTTTAATAGGCTAAAGTTTGACCGGTCCTTAAACGATGTCATGAGAAAGTGACTAACTATATTTTGAGATATCATCTTTCTGCTAGGCAAATTGCTAGAAGATTTGTGCTCAGTTTATTTTAGTATTTTGTATTTCTTGTCAAAATCTTGTGCAGAAGTGAATATGCAATGTGTGGATTTCAAGAAATATGTGAGCATGTTACTTTACAATTAATTGGTTCTTGTCTAGTAAAAAGACATGCTTGATCACTTTTTGGTTCATGTGAAATTACCCTGTTTTTGATTCCTATCAACTTTCTTTCCTGTTGATAAGCAAGTGTTGGGCAATTTTAAAAAATGACATGCAAAAGAGCTCTAGGGACTCGTAATTTTGAGTAGTAATGTGCAGTTAACATCGTAGACGAGTCCTGCAATGTGTTGTTCTTTGTGTTTCTTAATGTATCAGATTTTGAATTTTGGAGATTTTAGTTGGATATCATGTTCTTTTATGATAACAAAGAGGTTTTGTAGAGTGTTTTTGCTTGTCAAACGCCTTAATCAAGAAATTAAAAGATCGAGCCATATTCAAGATATGTGAAGAAACTGGGAGCTGCTGTATGACTTAGGCTTTCACTGTTATTGATCTTCTTGCTGATAAACTTGAGTCTAATGGTTCATGATGGCAACTTTGTTTTTCCAACTTAATAGATGAATTAATGTATTAATTTGATTCTTCTGCAGTACTTCGGGATGCCCATTTGGGGAAGGATGCCACTTCTTGCATTATGTGCCTGGAGGCCTTAAAGCTGTAACTCAAATGCTTGGCAGCAACCCAGCTCTTCCAGCAGCTTCTAGAAATTCAATAGCTCCACTGTCTTTCCCTGATGGATCATCTCCTCCAGCTGTTAAGACTCGTCTCTGCAACAAATTCAACACCGCCGAAGGTTGCAAATTTGGTGACAAATGTAATTTTGCCCATGGTGAGTGGGAGCTCGGCAAGCCAATGGCTCCATTGCATGAGGAGTCCCGTGGTATGTTCCAGACTCATGGAAGGTATGGTAGTCGACCAGAGACAACTCCTGCAGGCTTTGGCGCAGCTGCCAGCTTTGGGTCTTCTGCTACTGCTAAGATCAGTGTAGATGCCTCTCTTGCCGGACCTATTATTGGAAAAGGTGGTGTCAACTCAAAGCAAATAAGCCGTGTGACTGGAGCCAAATTTTCCATTAGGGATCATGAGTTGGATCCTAACTTGAGGAATATAGAACTTGAAGGTACAATTGATCAGATTGGACAAGCCAGTCAAATGGTTCGTGAGCTTATTCAGAGCGTTACAGCAAAATCTGGGGCACCCCTGATGAAGAATCCCAGCTCCACTGCAACAAGCAACTTTAAAACAAAAATTTGTGAGAACTTTGCTAAAGGGTCGTGCACTTTTGGAGAAAGGTGCCACTTTGCACATGGAGAAGAAGAATTGCGTAGATCAGGTCCATGAGCTTTGCAGTATTTACTATTAGGGGGTATTATCTTTTTGGCTGTTATCTGTTTTTATCTGGGTTTCTGAAAATACTAGATAGGTGTTTTTGCCATTCGGCGTCTCTTGGATTTTGAGGCTTGTAGTTAGATCTTTAATGTGCTGCTTTCTCATGACTTGTTGCCTTTATCTTGTTTGCTGTTCTTTTAATCATAACCTAGTTACTGTTATTGATATGGAATTGTAGTATGTTTTGCTGGAACGTGGAACAATGTGCGCTTTGTGTATGTTTCTTTTGCGTACATTAACCCAGAGGGACAGACTGCTGGAAAATTGGGTCAACCACTTGGTTAAGATTTTTTTCTTGGTCAAGTTCTAATCCTTTGTTTTACAGTTGAACTGTTTGCTAAATTAATAGTTCAGAAATTCAGGAGACCTAATCCTGAATTTCTAATTAGCAGCTCAAATATTTGGGATACTAAGTTGTGAATTCCAAATGAGCAATTCAAAAATTCAGGATACTAATCTTGAAGTTTGGGTGACTTGCTTAATCTTTAAATACATTGAAAATTGTGAATAGATTGTAAACGTGCTTAAAAGTGGCTAATGGTGCGCTCTTCCATTTAATAGTACTCTTTATTGAAAGAAAATTGGAAAACATAATAAAAGTCTTTCATAATAGGTATTTAAAAGCATTTATTTATTTAAATAATGCTTATATGATACTGAGTTTATGTATCATGTTTCTGTAATTGACACTAAAATGTACTTTTTTGGATAATTGGTCAACTAGAACTGTTTCTAAAACTGATAAAGAAACACATCTCAAATGATTCAGTCAACCACTAATTATTACGTACCTATCTAAAATACTTCTCTAAAAATGTCTTTTTACAAAAACGTTTTCTTAAAATAAAACGATTTTAAAAGTTTGACCAAATAGGCAATAAGAGTCGATCTTTACTATTTTGCTAACCATTAAAAAGAACACCATTTGCAGGGCAATAAGGAAATTCGATAGGGAATATGCGGTCCTTCCGTCATTTGTGGTAAGTGTAGAAAATTATTTAAAAGGGTCTTTTCATCGCTCTCTTTTTTTTTTTTTTTTTTTGTGACTGAATTTTTCATTTCTAATGTGTTCTTTCAAACATCATAAGATAGATTTAAACATCTCTCAGGTTGTATGCTTATAAAGATTTTTTTAATATCTCTTTTATCGTCTCTAACTCTATAAAAAAGCGACAAAGAAGACTTACATGCCAATATTATGCCAAGATAAGAGAATTGATAGCGTTTAGGGTCGTTTGGTAAGCGGACTAAGTTATTCCGGGATAATAATCTTATGATTATAATTAATGGATTATTTTATCTCACATGGAAGGTGAGATAAAATAATTTCAAGTTTGATGGGATAAGGTGAGATAAGGTGGTATATTCAGTATTAAGTCTGAGATTAAATTTATACCATATTTAATTGATGGTATAAATTTAATCCCTTACCTTATTCCACCTTATCTCGCGTACCAAAGGAACCTAGAGTCGGATAGGATGAGGTGGTAATGTTCAAACCTCACAAAAGAAGTATTGTTACTTGTTAATTGTTATAACTGTGACATAATAGTATCTATTATCCGGGTAAAAAATTTAATTTAATTTAATTTAAGGTTAAGTGTGATACGATAATTAACAGAAGCACAAAAAATAAAATAACGCATATAACTCAGGGATCAAAATTACCTACTGGTAAATCATTTCATAGTCACTAATATGATGGAACAAATTTACCAAATTTCAAATCCTAAATTATCCATTCAGAGTTTATTTGGTTGGAATTTGATAATTGACAAAGTGAAACCTTAAGAAAGAAATGAGATTGAAAGAAAGGTGGATTTTCCGGCTAAATTCAGCCGGAAATCTCGAACTTGACAAATCTTTTATGGTTCCGGCAACCAGCTATATGGACAAATCACCGGCAAATTTGTTCTCCGGCGGCGTACAGAGAAACATCTCGAACCTGTTTGAGCTCAATCTCTCTTACAATCACTTCTCCGGCGAAATTCCGGCGAGTCTCCGGTGGGCTTCACCAACTTCACTATCTTCAGCTTGAATGGTCTAGAAGAAGTGAAAAAAGAAATTAGGTTCTATGCACCGAGTATTTACACAATCAGGTAACTGAAGATAGTCTATTTAATAGCAATAATAAGAATAAATGATAAGTAATTTGCTATAACGTAACTGAAATCATTACCGTGTATATTTCTCATTTTGTTTCAATGCACACTTACTATATTTAGAAATTATTTTATTTTAAAGTTCTTATTTTACGAGATGATATAGAGCCACATAAATGCGTATGAATTATTTTAGACATCAGTTTCAAAAATGTTTAATTCTTTTTTTAATTTTGTGTCCAATCAAATTTCTACGGGGAGGAAAAATTTGTGTGATGGATTGAAATGAATATTGTCAGTTACTTTGGTAGAATTTACCAAGAACTGACAAAACGAATAAAATATACATAAAGGAAGGAGCAGATACACTTTCTTCAATTAAAGAATTACTGGAATGGTGAGCAAGTCTTTGTTAAACCGTGTGATAAGTCAACCAAAGACTTATAACAGTAATAAAGAAGATAGTGCCTTAAATTGCAACTGAACACAATTTCCCTACATCTGCAAACTTCTTTCACATTCATCTTCAATGGCTTCTACTTCTTCATCCACTCAAAATTGGAAGAATGATGTTTTCTTGAGTTTTAGAGGTGAAGATACTCGTAAAACTTTTGTGGGTCATCTCTACTATGCTCTAAAACATAAAGGGATTCATACTTTCAAAGATGTTAGGTTGGAGAGAGGAAAGTCCATTTCACCTGAACTTGTGAAAGCTATTGAACAATCAAGATTTGCTATTGTTGTATTTTCTAAGAACTATGCATCCTCCACTTGGTGCTTGGATGAACTTGTAAAGATCATGAAATGCAAGAAAGAATTAGGACAAACTGTGATACCCATATTCTATGACGTAGATCCATCGGATGTGAGTAAGCAAAGTGGAACTTTTGCTGAATCATTTGCTAGACATGAGGAAAATTTGAGAGATGATTTGGAGAAGGTGCAATCTTGGAGGGATGCATTTGGTGAGGCAGGCAAAACAGCAGGATATGATTTACCAAATGGCTACGACGGGTACAAGGCTCTCTTTCATTTTCCTTCTTATTCTCTGAATCGTTTTAGCATAACAAAATTCATCTCAGTCAACTATACTTTAATCCCAATAGTTGGGGTTGTCTAGACTCTTCACTATTCAGGGGATTCATAGAAAATTCACACTCAAGAAAATATTTCTGTAGTTTATCCAGTATACTGAAGATATGTTCTCAGTCAGGAATATTAATAAGTTCTTGGGAAATCAAGGTAAGAGCTTAGTTCATCATTGACTAAACGATAGCCTCAAAGATATGTTTGAACAGCTTAGAGAAGCTAAAAGTAGTTATACTATCCTCATGCAATTTAAAAGAGAAAATAAAAGGTAGGGCTGAAAAAATAAAAATATGCTGCTTTGTGTGTTCGAGTACCACAATGGTTGAGGATATGGGTTATTGTCTCCTTATATGGATCTGGCAATCCTTACTTCATGAGCTAGTTTTGCGGTTAAGTTAGGCCTAAGATCCATTTTCTTGACATGTTTTTTAGAGCCAAACCCATCTCTATTCTTGGTTTACCCAATTTTATGGCCCTCACGTTATGTTGTCCATCCTCCAAATGTTTAGTTCTGGACGTGTGAAGGGAGTTAGAATCCCACATTATTTTTCAATATGAGTTATTGTCGTCTTCATTTAATGAGTTAACTTTTGGGGTTAAGTTAGACATAATGTCCATTTTTTAGTGATGGTCGTTTCCCAAAGATATATCTCTAAATGAAGAAAAAAAGGTAAATGAGAAAAATAAGGAACCAACCATTAACTGGGAGAGAAATTGTGAGAAGTATAGCACAGAAAAGTTTCATTAATTATGTCTAAAGTGTTTTACAATATCCTTTTTATATAGATTACATAATAATAGATATTTATTTCCCAATGTGGGACATTATACATTATTAACTATCTAGTACTCCCCCTCAAGCCGGTGCATATAAAATCATATGTACCGAGCTTGTTACAGATGTAACTAATACGAGAACCAGTAAGGGACTTGGTGAAAATATCTGCAAGATGATCATTCGACTTCACAAACTTTGTAACAATATCTACTGAGAGTATCTTTTCTCAATCCTCTCATGGAATACCGGATTTGACGCAATATGAAGAGCAACTTGATTATCACACGCCAGTTCTATCCGGCTGATTTTTTGGAACTTCAATTCCTTAAGCAACTGCTTGATCCAAACTAGCTCACATTTTGCCATGGCTCGATATGCTGCCTTTGGGCTAGATCGAGCAACTATATTCTGTTTCTTGCTTTTCCAAGAGACCAAATTACCTCTGACTGCAACATAATATCCAGACGTAGAATGTCTATCAGAAGATGATCCTACCCAATCAGCATCTGCGTACCCAATAATCTGCTCATGGCTTCGATCCTCGAATAGTAATCCTTTGCTTGGAGCTGACTTTATATACCAAAGAATGCGAACAGTTGCATCCTAGTGACTGTTACAGGGAGAATCCATAAACTGACTTGCAATACTCACAGGAAAAGAAATGTCAGGTCTAGTCACTATGAGGTAATTCAATTTTCCAACAGACCGCCTATATCTCCAAGATCGCTAAGAGACTCCCCCTGTCCTAGCAGAAGCTTAGCATTCGGATCCATAAAAGTGTAAACAGGTGTGCAGCCTATCATTCCTGTCTCCTCAACAATGTCTAAGGCATACTTCCGCTGTGAAATAACAACACCTGAGCTAGACTGAGCAACCTCAATACCTAAAAAATACTTTAATCTGCCCAGATCTTTAGTCTAGAAGTGTTGAAAGAGATGCTGCTTCAGATTAGTAATACCATCCTGATCATTGCCAGTAATAACAATATCATCAACATAAACCACCAGATAAATACACAGATTCAGAGCAGAATGCTGATAAAACACAGAGTGATCAGCTTCACTATGAGTCATGCCGAATTCATGAATAAGTGGTCGGAACTTACCAAACTAAGCTCGAGGAGACTGTTTCAAACCATGGAGTGACCTGCGCAATCGGCATACAAGACCACTAGACTCCCCCTGAGCAACAATACCTGGTGGTTGCTCCATATAAACTTCTTCCTCAAGATCACCGTGGAGAAAAACATTCTTAATGTCTAACTGATAAAGAGGCCAATGACGAACATCAACCATGGACAAAAAGAGGCGAACAGATGCTACTTTAGCCACGAGAGAGAAAATATTACTATAATCAAGTCCAAATATCTGAGTGTATCCATTTGCAACAAAACGAGTCTTAAGCCGATCAACCTGGCCAGCCGGGCTGACTTTGACTGCATAACCCAATGACAACCAACAATAGACTTACCTGAAAGAAGAGGAACAAGCTCCCAAGTACCACTCTCATGTAAAGCAGACATCTCGTCAACCATAGTCTGTCGCAATCCTGGATGAGATAGTGCCTCACCTCTAGACTTAGGGATGAAAGTAGTGGACAAAGATGATACAAAAGCGTAATAGGGTGATGACAGACGATGTAACTTAAACCGATATAATGTGGACTAGGATTAAGGGGTCGTTTGGTAGGAGTTATTAGAAAAAACAATGCAACATTAGCTTTGTGCATTACTAATCCCTCTCTTGGTATATTTTCTCAACCTATGTATAACTGATACTTGTATCAGTTATACATCCTATTTGGTATTATCTTATGTATAACTAATACATAGCAAACCATAGTATTAACAATGCAAGGGTTTTTAATATTTGCATAAACATGGTTAAAGACATAATTGCCCCTCAAATCCCTTAAAACCTATTGCCAATACTTTCCGCCATATTTTGTAATTGACATGTTGACTACATATGATCGTTATTTCAGTTTACTATTTTAATACTGACGGAAAGTATTTAAAAACATCTTGTGTTTGTTTAGTAAATGAAAAATATTTTCTGAAAAAATTATGTACTAAAGATTAATAATAATATTAGCAAATGGAATAGTGTAAAAGAACCCACTATTTGCTCCCCTATAGAAAACAATTGGCTTTAAAGAGAGTAAAAAATCTTGAGGGTAATAAAACTGTTGCAATAAACATAGTGTACAGAGTTAAAGAATGTGGAGGGTATTTTTGTAAATAATCAATTCTTTGCAATGCCTTAATACACCAAAAAACAGTGAATAAAAAATAATCTCAGCGTAATTAGTCCTAGCATTACTAATCCCAGCATTACTAATACACCCTATTCAGCGTTTCTTATACCTCCTACCAAACGACCCCTAAGTATGATCGTACACCTTTTCAGAGTGCAATTGGTGGACCAGGAGGAGACAAGTCCGCAATAGCTGCAGAATCTGATGCATGACGTGAATTATCTAGGCCTGATGCTGAACGTGGACGACGATGATAAGTCAAGAGTGGTGGCCTTGTGGCTGGGGATGTAGGAGGAGCAACTGTAGACTCCTCAAAAGTCTGTATAGGTAGTAGTGGTTGTAGTGGTGCTGTGGATGTAGATTCCTCACAAGTAGGTACAGTAAGACCTCAGATATATTAAGATGATCAGAAGAAGTAAAATAAGGTTGAGACTCAAAAAATGTGACATCGACTGACATAAGATACCTAAGAAGATCAGGTGAGTAGCAGCGATACTTCTTTTGAACCCGAGAATAACCAAGGAAGACACACTTAGGAGCTAACTTATCTTTTCAATGAGCTAAGTTGTGAACAACACATGTACTCCCAAAAACACGAGGAGAAAGAGAGTATAAGGTTGACTTAGGGAACAATGCTGAATGTGAAATCTGATTTTGAATAGTAGATGAAGGCATCTGATTAATCAAGTAACAAGCTGTAAGAATTGCATCGCCCCAAAAATGCAGCGGAACATGGACTAAATGAGAAGTGTGCAAGCAGTTTCAATGAGATGCCTATTCTTTCTCTGTGCTACCTCATTTTGCCGAGGGGTATACAGATAAGATATTTGATGGATAATTCCTTGAGAGGTCATAAACTGCTGAAACTGAGAGTATAAGTATTCTAAAGCATTATCACTACGAAAAGTGCGAATAGAAACACCAAATTAATTTTTAATTTCAGCACAAAATTCTGGATGAAAGAAAACAACTCAGAACGATCTTTCATTAGAAAAATCCAAGTACATCTTGAGTAATCATCAATGAATCTAACAAAATAATGAAATTCTAGGGTTGAACTGACTCTACTAGGATCCCATATAGCAGAATGAACTAAAGAAAAAATAGACTTTGAACAACTCTCAGCACGACGCGAAAAGGTGGCTGGGGTATGTTTCCCAAGTTAACACAACTCACAATCTGATATAGACAAACTAGGCACCATCTTTTGAAGCTTGGATAAACTCGAATGTCCTAAACGTCTGTGAATTAGATCTGGAGGATCTGTACCTGGACATGCTGTGGAGGGATTGGGTAAGTTAAGATAGTAAAGGCCTTGTGATTCATGCCATGTACCAATTGTCTGTGTCGTACTGCGGTCCTGCATAATAAAGGAATCATTAATAAAATATATACCACAGTGGAGGGCATGAGTCGAACGACTAACAGATGCAAGATTAAAAGGATAAACAGGGACATAAAGAATAGAATCTAAAGTGACAGAGGATAAAGGATTAGCTTGTCCTACTCCTTTTGCTTTTGTTTGGACTCCTTTGGCTAAAGTAACATTGGAAAGAGACTGATCATAAACAATATTTGACAAAACTAACCTATTACCAGAAATATGATCAGAGGCGCCTGAGTCCATGACCCACGGTCCAAGAGTAATAAGCTGGGAAACACAAGCAAAGGAATTACCAGCAACAGAGGTATCAGTCTGAGCAACAAAGGCTACTTGTGGAGGTGTTTGTTTACTTGCTCGATACTGAAGTAACTCATTATATTCTTCTTCAGTTAAAGAAAAACCCTGGTTACCTGTAGTATCGGTTTGAGCAACATGGGCATTTTTAGGCGGTCGACCGTGCAAAGAGTAACACACCTCACAAGTGTGTCCGAGCTTATTACAATAAGAACACTTGGGTCGAGATCTTCCAAAATGACCTCATCCCCGTCTATTCTCCATAGTCTGAGATATCTGATTTTCCATTGTCTGAGATGCGAGAATAGAGGAGTCAACAGTTGGTGGTGACACTACTGTGTGACTGGGTGGCATAGCAAGGCGAAGAAATCGAGAGAATAGTTCATCAATTGTAGGAACTGAAGGATTAGCCAAAATTTGGTCAGGCACCGAGTCAAGGTCATTAGGCAGTCCAACAAGTGTAAGAACTAGAAACATCTTCTATCGTTGCTCTTGTTGTTTTTCAACACTAGCAGTGACTGATATCAACTTCTCAAATTCCTCCATAACTTCCTGCACTTGTCCCAAGTAGGTAGACATCCAATGCTTGTTTCTTTAAATTTGTCACCCGAGATATCACCTCATAAAAACGAGATATGTGATTAGTGTATAAAATACTAGCCTTCGACCAAACTGAAAAACATGTCTGAAATGGACGAAACAAAGGCATCATCTTGGAATTAATCGATCGCCAAACTACATAATTGAGCATTACTTTTATCCCAGAGTGCTTTGGCCTTTTCGTCTCCATCACTAGTCTTCTTGGTTAGGTGATCTTGAACACCTTGACCCTTGCACCACAACTCAACAAAAGAAGCCCAAGTTAAGTAGTTTGAACTTCCCATTAAGGGTTCCAAAGTAATCATCAAACTTGAATTTCTAGAACCCGTGCTTTTAGAATCAAAAATATTAAGTCCCAAAGACATTGTTGGACCAAATAGCACAGACAATCAAGAACAATAAAAAAACTCACACGAACAGTGAAGAAAAAATATTGTATCTTGCCGGAAACTGAACAGTCGCCGGAAAATAAAAAGTTTGTCGGAATTTGATGTAACTTAGATGGGACTTGAAATAGTCTCGCGAGCAAGCTGTCCAAAAGGAGTTTTGTCAGAAACTGGCCAGAAGGCAGCTCACGCGCCAACGCGTGAGGAGATCTTGCCGGAAATTTTCCCCTTTTGGTCGGCGTGTGTGGGCGTGTGTGTGTGTGGGGGGGGGGGGGGTATTTTTCCGCGGGGTTTGCCTGGGTTTGGTTGCCGCAAGGTGGAGGACCCTGTTGTGGTGTTGGTTTTAGCACAACATTGATGGAAATGTAGGTGACACAATAATAGCCCTAGAAGTCACCGAAAACTGACACATGGCGACTGTCCGGCGGAGTTTTCTTTCCCGGATGTTTCTCACTAACGCTTTGATACCATGTGCGGAGTATAGCATGGAAAAGTTTCATTAATTATGTCTAAAGTGTTTTACAATGACCTATTTATATACGGTGATTACATAATAAAAGATATCTATTTTCCGATGCGGGACATTATACATTACTAACTATTTGGCAGAAACCAAAGGGAGTATGTGAACAGGGAGAGATGACATATGATTGAGCTCATTACTTTCTGATTGTCATGGTCCCAAAAGGATTAGAAATACTAAATCTATTACATAATTTCCACACAAAATTTTGTTTCATGGTTTTGAATGGACTAGGAATACTAAGACGTATCAATCATGCACTCTGTTTGTGAAGCCTCGTTTCAAGTTGTTTTTGCAATTGCTTGTACAGGTATGAATCTAATTGCATCCAGCATGTTGTTGAAGACATACTGGGTAAATTGTGTCAAGTTACTTCAACCATTGATAATGATTTAGTCGGGATGGAATCTCGAGTGCGTGAAGTAAGTTCATTACTAAGAATGGAAACACCTGATGTTCGTTTTATTGGAATTTGGGGGATGGGCGGCATTGGTAAGACAACAATTGCAAGCGCTGTATTTGGCAAATATTCTGGCCTATTTGAAGGTGTTTGTTTTCTTGATAATGTTGCAGAAATGCAAAGGACATTTGGACTGCAATACTTGCAAGGTGTTCTCCTCTCAAAAATCCTAAAGGTAAGCTTAACTATTACAAGTGTATATGAAGGCATGGAAATCATAAAGAAGAGGTTGCGCTCAATGAAGGTTTTGATCATTCTTGATGATGTAAATCAAAAAGACCAATTAGAAATGTTAGTTGGACGGCATGATTGGTTTGGTAGTGGTAGTAGAATTTTGATTACAACAAGAGATAAACATTTGTTAGATAATCATATGGTGGATGAAGTGTATTCTGTGAACTTGATGACTCTTAATGAAGCTATTGAGCTATTTAGCCTACATGCCTTTAAGCAAAGAATTCCTAAGAAAGACTTTGAGGAGCTTTCAAATCAAGTTGTACATTGTGCCGGTTTGCTCCCTTTAGCTCTGAAAGTTTTAGGTTCATTTCTCTATGGATTAGACAGGAGGCATTGGACATCGTCATGGGAAAGGCTGAAGGATCTGCCAAATGATGAAATTCTTGCTAAGCTTAAGATAAGTTTTGAAGGACTGGGGCATGTTGATCAGAGACTCTTTCTAGATATTGCATGCTTTTATAGAGGAAAATTGAGGAGTTATGTAGAGGAAATACTTGAGAGCTGTGGTATCGGATCTACAATAAGAATAAAAGTCTTAATTGAAAAGTCTCTCTTATTTATCTCACCATATGACACAATTGAAATGCATGATTTGATACAAGAAATGGCCTGGCACATCGTGAGTCAAGATGACTCACGAAGGAGTAGAATATGGCTTCCTGAGGACATCGAGGATTTGTTTACTGGAAATTTGGTAAGATATGTCATTATCTCATTCATAAGAACTGTATTGCCATCATCCACTTTTAGGTTATTTGTGCGGATTTCTTGTTCTTTTTCTTTTCTTTTTTCAATTATTCTGCAACATAGAATGGCGTTCTATTTTGCTTTGTCATTTGTGTTGATCATATCACTTTTTAATATTTTATATCATTTTGTGGTTAGTTAAATGAATGAGATCAATTTTGTTATTCAACAAATGTATAATGGGTACAATAGTCTTGTGTTTCAAATGTTGTTTCCTCATGATTTTTAACTAAATAAATCATTTTGATACACTGACACACACACACACACGCACAGAGAGAGAGGGGGGGGGGGGGGGTAGGGAGGGAGGGAG